ATATTTTTCTTCTTCATTTTTCTTCCCCCTCGACCTCTCAGCGCTGCGGGTGACAACTATGATGAAAAACGAGTCTCTTATCAAAGTGACACACGAGCGTGAGAGTGAGCCTTCATCTTTGTGTTGACTCCTCGCCCTAACTACCTCCACCCACGGGTAACCATCACCACCTCCACCCCAGGGTAGCTCTTGCTACCTCCACCCCCGGGTAGACCTTACTACCTCCACCCCCGGATAGCCCTCACCACCTCCATCCACGGTTAGCCTTCACCACCTCCACCCCCGGGTAGCCCTCACTACCTCCACCCCTAGGTAGCCATCACCACCTCCACCCCCAGGTAGCCATCACCACCTCCACACCCGGGTAGCCCTTACTACCTCCACCCCCAGGTAGCCTTCACCACCTCCACCCTCAGGTAGCCTTCATCACCTCCACCCACGGGTAGCCCTCACCACTGTAATGAAGGTTTATCAGACCACAGCTGCAGCCCAGAGAAGAACAGCACATATAGCAGTTTTTTCTTGAACATGTATTATAAAGACGTATCATATAAGCTTACTGTAACCACTAAACAAACACTAAATCTCAAATATTCGTAAGTTCAATCGCAAGTGTTGAGACAACGTATTTAACTGGCTCACTCAAGCTACAGCAGTGCTATCAATATTTGTCTAATTAGTTAACTTCAGCTGCGATACGAACTCAAAATCTTACTTGTGTGTATTTTTTTCCCTTAATTAATCAAGTAATAAAACATAGGATGAGTTAGGTTAGGTTAGGTTAGGTTAGGTTAGGTTAGGTTATATTAGGTTAGCTTACGTCAGGTTTGGTTAGGTTAGGTTAGCTTGCGTCAGTTTAGGTTAGGTTAGATTAGGTCAGCTTGCGTCAGGTTAGGTTAGATTAGGTTAGCTTACGTCAGGTTAGGTTAGTTTAGATTAGGTTAGCTTACGTCAGGTTAGGTTTAGATTAAGTTAGCTTACGTGAGGTTAGGTTAGATTAAGTTAGCTTACGTCAGGTTAGGTTAGATTAGGTTAGCTTACATCAGGTTAGGTTAGATTAGGTTAGCTTACATCAGGTTAGGTTAGATTAGGTTAGTTTAGGCTACGGTGAGTTTGGTTAGGTTGTTTTTTAGATTAAGTTGATTCGGTTGCACTTATCTTAAATTGCATCAGGTTTGTTTTGGTTACACGTCTATGCATCCTACCTAACCTAACCTAACCTAACCTAACCTCAATCTAGATGTTCATTATATCACTTTTTATATTCATGACAACTTCTCCCCAAGGCTCTTACCCAACTAATGGAAAAATAGCGTCTCTTCCTTTCCACTTCATAAGATTTTCAAATAATGACCCATGAACGCAGATTACTAAAATAAACTTTATGCACGGTAGTAAAGACGCGTCAAAAATGCTCCTAGACTTGATAGATATAGATTATTTTTCAGTCCTTTTATATTAATTTTTTTATCCTGTGCTGTTGGGGAGTGAAACAGTGTTGCTTTGACAGAGAATATTGCATTGTGCTGAACATTTAGGACATTATCTTTTTGGGAGAGGACGGGAGGGAGAGATGGAAGGGGGAGAGGGAGGGACAGGGAGAGAGTGAGAGAGTGGGAAGAGGAAAAACGAAAAAGAAGATGGGAGAAAGGAGAAAGCCTTGGAGAGGGGGAGAAAAAGAAGTAGAAGGAGGGGGAGGAGGATAAAGAAATGGAAGAGGAGAAAGTGGAAGAGAGAGGTATAGAGAAGGGAGGGAAAGGAAGGAAAAGGGGAATAATTGGTGGAGGGAAATCGATAAAAAGATAATATTAAGGAGGGAAAGAAATTGAGAGAGAAATTCACACACACACACACACACACACACACACACACACACACACACGCACCTGGCGCTGCTCAGCAGCAGCCACGTCAACTGTTATGTTGGCCCATACCAACTCCCTCCCCTGAACCCTCCTCCCCACCGGAATATCAACAAGTTCTCGCCAGAAGTTACTATTTCATTTGGGAAAGGAATGGAACCAGTGTTGAATAGTGGTGAACAGTGCTTAAGTCAGTGAAAAACAACTCGGCAGTTGAGTCTGAGCCAAGCTAACCTTCACACAGTGAGGTCGCAGGTACCCAGTGATAATTCCCCTGAGACTCCACGATAGGGAGGCCTGGGACCACACCTCACCCACTTGAGTGAGTGAAGTCCTGTGACAACAGATCACGTGGTCTCCCCATGATGCACGACACCACGTAACGAATGAGTTGCTACAGAATCATGTGAAGTTCCTCATAACACCATCTGTGAGGGAATTACTACACCACGTGATGCCCCTCATAACACCATCTGTGAGGGAATTACTACACCACGTGATGCCCCTCATAACACCATCTGTGAGGGAATTACTACACCACATGATGCCCCTCATAACACCATCTGTGAGGGAATTACTACACCACATCAGGCCCCTCATACACCATCTGTGAGGGAATTACTACACCACATCAGGCCCCTCATAACACCATCTGTGAGGGAATTACTACACCACATCAGGCCCCTCATAACACCATCTGTGAGGGAAATACTACACCACATCAGGCCCCTCAACACCATCTGTGAGGGAATTACTACATCATCAGGCCCCTCATACACCATCTGTGAGGGAGCCCCTCATAACACCACCTGTGAGGGAACCAGTACTCCACGTGATGCCCCTCATAACGCCATTTGTGAGGGAGTTACTACACTACGTGTCTGCTGTTCAACACCTCAGCTTACATGATCTACGTGTGTAAACATTAATCTGTATGTTCACTGTATATGTTCCTTCACCTTTCTCTAATTAAGGCTTTTGTTAAACCACCAATGTATGTAATAAGTCATTTATGTCCAATGTATATTTTCAGCCTTCGGGCTGCAAACTTTTTCAATAAACCGTTAATTATTATTATTATTATTATTACACACACACACACGCACACAGGGAGAGGAAAAGATATCAAGAGAGGATTAGGAGGGAGGGAGGGAGGGACAGACAGACGAACGGAATAAAATACAGAGATGAAGGAAGAAAGAAAGAAAGAAAGAAAGAAAAAGAAAGAAAGAAAGGTGTTTACGGTTGACTCGATACAGTGATGAAGTTGCAGTTTAAGGGATTCAAATTGGGACGAGAAATTTGATACTTACCTGAATGAAGGTTTAAGGAAGGAATTAAGGCATTGTTATTAACCTTAAGAGAATTTTAAGGAGAAGGAATTTTATATTGACCTTCACATATGTCTCAAAGATATATTGTTTCAATTTCTTTTTACTCATCGAAACAAAAATTCAATCCCCGAGTTTTAG